ATTTTTCTTATTCTTTTTATAAATTTTTATTACGTTATTTATATATTTTAATATCTATTATTATTGTTGTTGCCTTGCAAGGAAGAAACAGAAATCGAAAGCGTGCTCGATTCGTGATCTTTCTGGGCGAGTTGGCCCATTATTTCTTCGTAGCGTTCTTCCGATAAATAAATCTGAATAGTTATAATAATAAATATATAATAATCATAATAAAAGTGATAAATAATTAAGAAAATCTGATTAAATAAAATAATAATTATGAGTAAATCCGATTAAATATTAATATTAATAATAATAATCAATAAAACTATAAAAATATTAAATTTAATGATAAGTAAATCTGAATAGTTTATAATAAAAATTATAATAAAGTTAAAAAATATAATAATAATAGTAAATAAATAATAAACAAGTCTAAATAAACAATAGTATAAAAATAAAAATAATAATAGTAAACAAAATTGAATAAATAATAATAACGAATGAATAAATTTAGAGGAATCATAAAAATAATAATATATAAATTTAAAAAAACTGTAAAAATGAGAATAATAATAAATAAAGCTTAAATAATAATAGTAGTAGTAAAATAATAAGTAAATTAAAGTAAATAATAATAACAGTAATAATAATAAAATCTAAATATATCACAATACACAACTTTGAGTATGTAATAATAAGAAATATTAAAAAAAATAATAGTAACAGTAATAAAAAATAAATTTGAATAAATAATAATAATAAATAATAAATTTGTATGATTATCAATTAAACTTTTTTAATTATAGATTAGCTTTTCGTTATTAATAAATATAAATTATTCGTTATAATTATAATACAAATAATAAAATTATATAAAAAATCATTATCAAACTTATAACGATTCAATAGAAATTATATAATAATGACGTTTATTAATATTTCTATAAAATTATTAATTCTCTAAAAAAATATAAATAGACTTAATAAATACATAATAAGAAAATAAAAATATAAATTATCGAAAGCATTTATTAAAAAAATAATTCGAAGTCATGATTATTAATGAAACCTTTCTAATAATAATTATATTAAGTATTATAAATTTTACTGGAAGTTTACTATTTTTCGTAAAAATATGAAAAACAATAACACATTAATTCCAGCTTTTCAAATTTTTGTAATATAATATTAAAACTTCCTTAATAGTAAAAGCGTGACTGACGGTTAATTTTATTTTAAAGTGCATCAGTTAATACTATTAATACCAAAATGTAATTTAAAATGTCACTAAAAGCTCCCAACCAATGTTTGGGACAATAAAGCGTGACGGACAAGCTAATGTTTGCATTAAATAATACTGAATAAATCAAATTGTGATTTCTAAATGTCACTTAAAGCATCAACTAATACGATAAAGGGCTCATATTAGTACAGGTAGCAGTGACGAGTTCTTACCCCGTTTTTAGACCTCGTGGTATACAAGTCCTTCCGAAGCCTTTCAATAATCTACAAGTGAAAAAAAAATTAACGATACAAACAGAAGAATCATAGAAAATTAAAACATATTAACCAATAGACATAAGAATATAAAAAAGTAACGTTTACCAATAAATTGATTATATGGAACCAAAATAAGTAAACAAGGTACAGTTTTAAGGACTCATTATTTTTTTAATCAAAATTTATAAAAAAATTTAAATAACTATAAAAAAACGTTATAAATATTATAATAATTATTAGATAAAAAATGATTTATATATAATTGTTATAAATAAAATATTATATAATCAAAACTTTTATAAAGAAATATAAAATACATATAATGCAAGTATATAATGTGTTTGAGAAAACAATGAATAATAAGTATATGGAAGTCAAGCCTATACGCATAATATAGCTAGAAAAAGAACCATTTAAAGCGCAAAAAGATGGTATGTAATAATGTTACCCAATTAGGGATGCATAAACACCCAACACGACTTTTTATATTTATTAAAAAGTTGATAAATTTCATTGTATTATTTAAAAAATTTTCTTTTATGATTATATTTATATCACTATTATTTTCATAAATATGCTTATTTATTTTTTTGTTTTTACTTTTATTAGAAAAAGCCAATTAACGGGGCTTTCTAGTAAAGTAAAAAAATAGTACCCCAATTAATATCTTATAAAAAGTTGAATGTTATTATTATTATCATTATTATTATTTATTATTCTTATTCTTATTCTGTTTCATATATTTATTGTAGAAATGAATATATATACAAAAATAGTTGGCAAAAACAAACCATCGTATACTCTTTTATTAAAGCCTTTTTAGTAAGCGTCTGGTTAACTTCCGGCTGATTTTCGATAAATTTTGCGCTAAAAAGTTTATTAAAAAGTATTAATAATGATGATAATATAATAAATAAATAAATAAAATATAAAAACAATAAAACAATTTTTTTATGCCAAGATGCACGCGCATATGAAAGCATGTGGATGAAAGTTTCTTTAAAGTATGATGAATCAATAACGATTTATTTATTTAGATTCCAAATAAACGTTTAATGATTGGCTAAGATTGGCTAAAAGTGGAGTATGATATGTTTAATAGAAGTACCGACTGGCGTATATGCACGTGCTCAGCGTCTCTTCTAAATTGATATGAGCAGGAGAAATAGTAGCTATAATATTTGTTTTTGCCTTTCCTCCCAGGGAATCTGATATTATAATAATAAAAAGTAAAAAAATGAATAAATAACAAAGTAAAAGTAATAATTAATAATAAATGGAAAAAATTAATAATAATAAAGTAATAGTAATAATTAGTGGTAATAGTTAGTAAAAATTAAGTAAAAATAATAATAATATAATAACTAGATAAAATAGTAAACAAATAATAAAGAAAAAGTAAAAATTATTAGTAATAATAAAAATTAAAAAAAGAATAAAAGGTGCTATTTTATTAATAATAATTAAGTAAAATAAATAAATAAAAAAGTAAAAAAAATTAATAATAATAATACATAAAAAATAAGTGAACCCTAAAAGATAATAACAAGAACAAAAAGTATTAGAAAAACAAAAACAAGTAATAAAGCAACCATCAAATATTAATATACAAAGGAATTTCTTAATATTTACTAAAATTACTTAATAAATGTTTATAACAATGAAAGTTCTTCTTTTATATAAATATTATGAAAAGTATAAAAAGTTTTAATGGAAAGCTAACAATAATTATGAAAAGTATACTTAAAGCAAAAATCCCTCAAAAAATATTAAATTATTTAGTGAAACTGATAAAAAATATTGGCTATTTAAAAAAATTAAAAAGGTAACTACTCAAAAAATATATTAATAATGATTGGTCAAATACAAGCACTGAAATTATAGTAATAAAAAAAAGTAAAAACAAAGAACTAAAAATACTAAAGAAAAATGGTCAAAAATAATATGGAAGTTCAAGAGTAATAAAAACATTATAAAGCTGAAATACTCTGTAATGAATGGTTAAGTATAAGCACTAAAATAATAAATAATGATTGGTCGAAAATAACATTAAAAATATTATAAAGCTGACATACTCTGTAAAATTCTTGTAAGAAGACTATCGCGGTATGGGACCCTTCCCGTTTTTTCAACCAACGCAGTGATCACACGGCCCAAAGTTAACAGTGATTTGTTGATTTTGCCAGCCTAGTCCAAGAAAACAACGAATTGAAAATATTTCGGGAAAAAATGTTACTTACAAATTTATTACTTAAGTTTCATTAGTATAAAATTGGGGATATAATGGATTGTTACTACTACTACTACTACTACTACAAATAATAATAATAATAATAATAATAAACTTCTTGAGCACGCATATTAGTAGCGCCTGAACGGCCAATGTTTTCACTTCCCGCCAGATCCACCAAATGAAGTTTACCTGAAAAAATTATACCAATAAAAAACGATATAAAAAATTTGTTTAAGAAAGAAATGAATATAACCTGTAATTAAAATATCCTCCTCGCCGGAATTGCGAGATTTCACGTGTGTGGTGATGGTAAACACTGTGTGAGAGCGGCTTTATATTTATATTTATTATTAGTTGTAGAATTACCATACATAAATAAAAATTATGACTATTTTTCTATTACTTTTAAAATCCCTTAACGCCAACCAATCAGCATAATTATAAAATTGTTAATAAAGAAAACAAATAAACTTCTTTATATAAGTCATTAAAAACACGGACCTCGAATTTTCGTTCATCTTGGTGGACGCTGTTTTTCTTTTCCAGCAACCATCAAGACAGTCGTAGACATTTTCATTTGAATGCACAACAACTTCTTCAACGCCTTCAATAATAACATTTCCCTGAAAATAATGATCATTTTTATAATGATTAACTATAATTATAGGGAAAATAACAAAAATTACAATAATAGTAATAATATAGATAATAAATAATTAGTAATTATTAAAAATATAATAATTATAATAATAAATAAGAATCTGGTTATTTTGTACTTTTATTTAATACGTTATATTTTTCATATTTTTACAATTCTACATTCATTATTTTTCATTATATCTTTACTTTTCCATTATATTCTTTCAACAAATTTTTATTATAAACTATCCTACTTTTAGTTTTTTACTTATTTACAAGATATCAACATCATTATTTTTTTTCCTACCCTACTTTCATTATTTCATCTTTTCAATACTTTTTTATTTATAATTCTTACTTAAAAACCTTTTCATTGTTTCTATAAACATTTTCATTATTTCTTTAAAATTTTTCCAATTCTTATACTATCATTATCTTTTATTATATTTTATATAATTCTCATATTAAAACTTTTATTATTTTATCTTAAAACTTCTTATATAAAACTGTTTACCCCTATTATTTTCTTAATTTTTTATATACTATTAATATTCTTATTCATATTTTAATATCTATCTTTAAAACTACTCTACTTTTATGTTCTATTTATAATTTTTTTATACTTTTAAATATAAATATGAAACTTTTCTCTATTATTTGTACATTCGCTTTTTATACAATAAAGAAAAAAGTTCATTTACTATTCTCCTTAATGTATATATATAATTCATACTTTATTCCGTTTTCATGCCTTTATTTTACTTTATAATATTTCTTATACTTAATAATATAATTATACTTTTCTTTCTATATTTATTTATTTTTCCAATGCAATTTTAATAGCTACTATCACTATTTTGTAATAATTTTATAGTTTATTTATTGATGTTATAAAAAAAATTAATATATATTTTTAAATAGTTTATTATCAATAATATAATAACATAATCAATAAAACAAACTTTTACTAGTTATTATTAATATTGTAATATTAAATTTCTATTTTTAAATAGTTATGGATATAATAATAAAATATATAAACACTTTTAATATATATAATTTATATGTATTGTAGCAATTATAAAAATACATATTCAAAAAAGTTATTATATTAATAAAATATATAAATACTTTTATTATGTACAATAAATATTCACTATAAAAATTATAATACTATATATTATAAAAAGTTATAAGTATAAATAATAAAAAATCTATAAATACTTTTATTATAAAAAATAAAAAAATATAGGATATTATTGATTATTATGAATAAAAAGAATAAAATATATACTTTTGAGTCGTTTAAAAGTTTCAGTTCTGAATAATGCGGGCTCAACAAATCTCGCAGTTTTTCATTATAAAGTTCGACATAGGAAATTTGAACAGAATATTCTGAATCGATATTCTCGAGCTCCTCAAATAGATGCTGGCAAACACGTGGTATAAGACCAGCATCCGAGTTGACGTCCCTCCAATCACAAAAGTAAATAACGAGCAGGGATTGGTTAAGAAGTATATTATAATGGAATAAATAAAAACCATTTAGTTTCTCGCGAGGGACGTCCTTCCATTGTATATGTTTTTCCCGTCCCCGTTTGTCCATAGCTTCATTATAATAATATATTAATATAATGATAACAAAATAAGGAAAATAATATTAATAATAATTATAAAAAAAAAAATATTATTTAAAAATGTATCATCATTTTATATATTAACTAATATTATTTATAATTATTATGTAATTCAAACTTCATGACAGGATAACTATTTCTTTTTTATTATAATTATTATTATAAGTAAACTGTAAAGCATCACTTTTTATATATTCTATACTAAAAGAAAATTCAAACTAATATACTATTATTTATTACTTAATATATCTATAACCAAAAAATTCCCAAGTAATTCACTATTTAAACTCATCTATTATTACATTTCCCTTTTTTTAATTTTATTATAAAAAAAAATAAACTTTATACTTTTATGTCACTATTATAAATATATTCACTTACACACACTCAGTAGTCCTTAATATTATTATTATAAATAATACTTCAAATATATTAATTATTATATTTATCAATATAATTTATAAATGTTATTATTAATTACTATATAAAGTTATTATTATCAAAAAATTTCATAAGTTGTTTATATTATAAATATTATTATTAAAAAATATATAAAGTTATTATAATTAATTATTTCATAATTAATATATTATATATATTAAATTTATGATTATATAATTATAATTATCAGAAATAAGTATAATTATTATATAAATTGAAAATATTACTATTATTTATTACTATACGTAATTTTTTATTATATGATTTGGTTCAAAAATTATATATACTTATAAATATTGTTATTATTATTAATATACTATTATTATCATAATCATCACAATTATTATTACTAGTATTACTAGTATTAACATATCTACTATTATTTTTTTATAAAAAATATCGTCATTGTTGCTATTAGCATTATACTAATATCATTTTATTCTTATCACAATTATGACTACAATTACTGCTATTAATATTGTACTAACGCAAAAATAGTGCAGTCATAGCCTTTCAACATTTCCTCGATGCTATGAACAGCCACTCTCTTATACACCTTTTATAAAAAAACGTAAATATTAATATAAAAAATAAAATTTCCAATATTATTTATTAAAAAAAATTATTATAATATATAAAAAATAATTATTGTTATTTTTTATGAAACAAGATTAAAATAATATTAAAAAAACCGCTTTTAAAATAAGTCATTTATAAATTTTAAAAGTAAAAATATTACAAACTAAAATTTATATATGAATTGAAATAGTATAGAAAAGAATACATAATATATAAAGCTAATAAAAGTTATTATAAAAAATTATAAAAAAAACTTAAAAAGATATATTATAAATACTATTGATAATAATAATTAGTAGTAGACAAAAAATGTTTATTTTTGCTATAAAAATATTATCATTTACTTTTTTTATAATATTATAAGTTATTATTTAAAATAACAAAAAACTAATGAAAATATATAAAAAATTACTTTTAATAGTAATAAAAAATAATATTATTCAATAACTTTTTATTATTGTTATATTAAAAATATTATTAATGACATTATAAATAATTATACTTAAAAAAAAACAAAACAAATACATATTATAATTACTTTTATTAACAGTAATCACGGATATTATTATTCAATAACTTTTTATTAGTGCTATAAAAATATTAATTTCTTCAAAAGAATAATAGATATAAAAACCTTTAAAAAAAATTCATTATAAAATGCTTATAATGTATTTTAATAATAATAAAAACTTAAAAAATAATTTAATAAAACTTTTTAGCATAAAAAATTTAGTTTTTAGTTTTTTTATAAATTATATAATGTTTATTAGAAAAACTTATATATTTTATATAATATAAACTATAAAAGAAATTATTTAAAAAACTATAAAATAATAAAAAGGAGCATTAAAAATTTTTTTAATAATTCTTAATAATTTTTTTTTATAGAAACAAAAGTAAAAAGATTTACTGTATTGCAGATAAGGCCGTACATTATTATAAAAATAAAAAGAATAACTATAAAAAAATTTAAAATAAATAAATTCTATTAAACTTATTACAAAAAAATAGTTAAATTAAAAAAAAACAGTACTAATTTATTAGAGAAAACGAAAATATTAAAAAAAATAAGAACTTTAATCATATTCGTTATAATGAAATTTTTTATAATATCAACAAAACTTTAAAGTAAATAATTTATTATAGTCATTTCAAAATATAAAAATTATTATAAAAATAGAAACAGAAAAAGTTTTAGTAACTAATAATATTTTTTATAATATTAAAAAATAATTCTATTATAAAGATAAAAAAAGGTTATACAAAAACATAAATTATGATTTTAGTTTGATCTTCTTTATATAAATGTTTTAATTCTTTTATATTTACTTTCACTTACCGCAGAATTTTTTTTTGGTTGTTTTTTCTTGTTATATAACAAACGAATAATACACTTTTATAACAAAAAAGTTTTCTAATAATGAAGTATAAAACAAAAAAAAATTAAAACAATTTAATTTTTATAAAAAATTAAGTACTAAAACTTTCATATAAAAAAAAAAGTCTGAAAATTATCGTTAAAAAAATTAATAATTGCTAGTTTCTTTTTTTATAACAAGTTTTTAGATATTTTCCATTATAAATCATTTTTATAAGTAAACTCTACTTTTCTCATATGTAAATCGTTTTTTAAATATAAAATAAAGTTTTTTTTATAAAAATAATATCTTATATAAAAATTAAAAATAAGCATAAACTTAAAAAATATATATATATATATAAACGGTTAGTATATTTTATAATAATATTACAAAATTAATGAATTCTAACTAAAAAAAAAATTTTTTTTTAATATATAAAAAAATGTGGAGGTTAGCACATCAAGTTGATTGGCAGTTTGATTAAACACGCCATCAAAGTCAAAAGTTTTAATGAAAGTTTGTCCGTCCCGTTCAACACGAATATTTACAGAATTCGGTCGTTCCTAAAAAAAATATCCTTAAGTAAAAAAAAAGTATAAAAACTTTTAAATTCTTATAAATTTTCAATATTTAATACTGAAGATATTGAAGCTTCCTTAAAAAATCTATAATTATTATTATAAACTGTTTTTAAATATAAAATTTTTATTATTATAAAAATAATTATAATTTTTTTTCTCTCTATTCTATAAACTTAAATACTTTCAGCTTCTCTCTTTAAAATAGTATAAAATTATATATAAAAATATATAAAAAGTTTATAAAAAAAAGTAAATCTCCTGAAAAATATAATATCAAATAGTTTAATTGCTAAACAAATTAAATATTTTGGTTTTTTCCGAAAAGTGTGTAATGTACTACTAAGAAATGGTGTACAAATTATTCTTGTAGTTATAAGTTTATTAGTATAAACTTAAAATTTTCTTAAAAAAGTTGATGAGTTTTAATATAAATATATTATTAATAAATAAATTAAATAAAAGTTCAAAGTTTTATAAAAATCATTAACGTTCATTATATACTATAGACTATAATAAAAATAATTTTTATTTAATATTAAACATTAAAAAAACTAAAAAAAAGTTAATTTCTCTATTCTTTTTATAAACTTTAAGTTTTAAAAGTTAAAAAATTTTAAAAAAATTAATATAAAATTTTTTTCTTTTTTAATAATTATAAAAAGTTTGAAATTATTAGTAATTACATTAGAAATTCTTCCCTATAAAAAACCTCGTTAAACTTTTAAAAATAATAAAATTATATAAATAGTCTTCTAAGAAATACAAAAAGTTAAAAAATGTTTAAAAATCAGAAAGTTATATAAGTTCATTCGAGTTAAAAAACTAAAAACTATTCTATGGATAAATATATATAAATATCACCCCTCAAAAAAAATATATAAGTTTATATTATATAAAAACTTTTTGTTTTTATATAAATTTAAAATTTATTCAAATAAAAAAAACTAAAAACTTTTTAATAAATAAATAAATAGGTTTTTCATTTCTTAAAAAAAAGTAATAATTATATAAAAATAAAAAGTTTTTATATATATTGAAAGTTCATTCAAGTATATATACTAAAAACTTTTCTATAAATCAATATATATTTATTGAAGAATGAAAAAAAATATATAAACCGTTAATAAATATTTAAGAGAAGGTCACTTAAGTAAGAAAACTAAAAACTTCCTTATTAATAAATATAAAATATTTTTCATTCTTTAAAAAATATATAAAAAGTTTATAAATGAAAATGTGCTTATATATATAAAAAATTTATTCAATTAAAAAAACTAAAAACTTTTTTATAAATAATTATAACTGAAATTTTCATTTAAGTAAAAAAAGAAACCAAAAACTTTTCTATAAAATATAAAATGTTTTCTTATGTTAAGTTTATGCAAATAAGAAAACTAGAATTTTTTATATAAATAGAAATTTACATTTTATTCTTTTCATAAAAAAGTATTAAAAAAGAATAAATTTTTACATATACTTGACGTTTATTTAAGTAAAAAGCTAAAACTTCTCTAAACAAATATAATTTTTTTATTTCATTTTCCTAACAAAATATTAAAAAAAGTTAAAAGTTTTCATATAATTTTAATTTATTTAAGTAAAAACAACTAAAAACTTTTCTAGAAAATATAAATTTAATTTTGTATTTTTTTCCAAGAAAACTATAAAAAGTTAAATTTTTTAAAAAAAGTTCGACTCTATTTAAAGTTTGTCAAAGTAAAGTAAATAAAAATTAACAAGTTGGCTTTTTTTAAAAAAGCTAAAAATATTAAAAATATTTTGATAAATTAAAAGTTCTATCGAAGTTCAATTTTCAACAAAAATATTTCTTTTGTTAATAAAATATTATACATTAACTATTATTTTCAAAAAAATCTTATGAAATACTTTAAAAATTTAATAAAAACTTTACAATATTTAAATTTTATTTCAGAAATTCTCTTCGATAAACTTAATAAGGCAAAATGCCAGTAAATAAATTATAAAAAATATTCTTAAGATTAAAAAACAAATAAATTATTTAAGTAAAGTTATAAATTTGGCCGACCAAAAAAAAATTAAATTCATAAAGATTAATTATTTTTTTTTGAAAAAATTTATTTCTAATTCCTAAGAACAAAAAATAGATTACTAAAACAATAAATTAATAATAAATTATTTTATAAAGGGTTTATATAGGAAAAGTTTTAATTTATAAAAAAGATTACTTTATACAAATTAATTATTAACAAAAAATAAAATCTCAAGTTATAAAAAAATTACCACATTACAGCTAACAACGCTTCGATATTGGCCCGAAGAAAGCTCGCGTTTTAGTGGTGGCCTTTAAAATTATAAAAATGTTTATTTTATTAATTAAAATAAATAAATAAATAAATATAAAATTATCCATCAAATCTTTAACTTCGGGATAAATTTTATCTTTGAAAAAAACTAAAAAATCAAATACACGTAAAAATAGATAATAGTAACATTAAGTATAAGTTCAAAAAGAATTCATCTTTTTTTTATTAATATTTACCTCAAAATTATATTTATAAATTTATATACTTATTGTTTTGAAAAGTTATATTTCCATAGCTATAGTTTTATATTAAACGAAAAGTTTAATCTTTAAAAATAATCATTTATTTTTTAATTTTTTTAAATTTAGGGTCTGCTTATTTTTTACAAATAAGTTAATATGAAGACTTTATATTAAGTTAAAATATATGTTTTAGTTATCTAATTTGCATATTTCGTATTTACTACTATAATAGTAATTTTCTACCATTAAATGAAGTACAAAAAAGTCAAAAAAAACGTTTATTAATTTTAAAATCGTAAACACTAAATTTCTAAATAAATATTAAATGTCGACTTTTTATTAATATAAATACTTTAAAAAAATAAAATCTTAAAATATTGCAAAGAGACCTACAACGGAGAAAAACTTTTACTTGCTGAGAGTTAGACTTCATATTCTTTTCTGTATAAAATGAGAAGTAAATTAAGGAATAATGCTCTTAAAAATTAGCTAAATCTTATATATAACCATTTTTTAATTATTAAATCATTTAATTATCAAGTGTTAATAAATATAAAAGGTCACAAGATTTAAAAAATAGTAAATTTAAAAATTAATTAGTAAACAATAAAAATAATTAATAAAAAAAAAGTTAAAGTATAGTAAAAAATATAAATAAATAATCAATAATAGAAAATCACATAACTCTATTGTCCTTTAAAAGGTTATTTTTATATAATAAATAAATATAAGTTGATTTCGTCTTATTCACAAAGCATAAATTAATTGAGTTCAAAAAAATAGTAAAAATTCAAGATATACACAACTTTACTTTGTTATTAATAATTTATTATATATAATACAAAAATAAGTTGATTCCTTCTAATCACCATACATTAATTGAAGATGAATTTAAAAATAATTAATCAATAATTAACTATACACAGCTCTACTCTGTTCTTTAGAAAGTTGTTATCATGAAATAAATACATACATAAGGTTAGTTTTAATTACAATAAAAAATTTAAAAAAGTTCAGAAAATAAATAAATAATAATAAAATTTTATACAGCTCTACCTTATTTTTAAAAAAATTACTATTATATATAAAAAAGCTTCTAAGCCTACAAAGTGAACACGCCAGTATTAACTAGAAAACTACCGCCAACTTAATTAGTTTCAAGATAACGGGCATCCCCTTTTATTTACGTCCTGCTTGCGTCAAGACTAATATTTTATATTTATTCATATCGTTACTAGTTATTGAACTTATTAGTAGCTTTTTATATTATAAGTTTTAAAATTAATTAAATATTTTTTTAATAAAAATTTTTTTTGTAAAACAATCATATATGTTAACACAGTTAATACTAAAATGTTAATAATTATACAGGCCATATAAATTTTAATTTTCAGTTAATATCGTTCGTGTGAGAGTGCTTTTTAATAATAAAAAAAGAGGCGTAACCATATTTTATTATTATATACTTGCCATTAATAAAGCCAGCTTTGCTTCCTTTCAATTTTTATTTAGTAATTTTCTGGCAAGATATTGTACTTTATTTTAAAGAATCGCAATAAGTTATAAGGAAAACTGTGTAACTAAAGCTTATCTTTTTTGTATATAAAAAAAAACTTTCAGTAAATCTATGAATTTCAAATTTCTTTACTATATATTACAATCTGTCCCCCAGAATTAGCGCCTTTATATTATAAATATTTTAAATAGTAGTTGTGATCAGGTTTTTTACTTTCTTTAAAGGGCCCTAAACAGTACACGAATATATTTTTGTAATACTGGATAATAACAGTTTTTGGTAGGATAGCAACTTTGTGAGTAGCTAGGCCATTACTATATTACTAGCACATCAGCATTAGCGCGGCTCAATACCCTTTATATATTAAACCATAGTATTACAATTACGGTACTCAACATATCGCTCAGTTCCAAGTAAGCTGGTAAAATGACTCAGTGCTATTAACATTACTCATCTGCTCTTAATCGTTGCTACTCGCACGGGACAACAGCTAACCCCATTAAGTTAGCAAGTTTCGCCAGTGTTTCACGAAAGGACCAAGCATTTGGGTGAAGACTAACACAAAGCGTAGCTGCTAAAAGTCGAGATGGGCACAACCTAAACTACTTAAGTAATTTTTATAATTAAGTTCTACTTTGGTAAACAAAACTAATTAACTAACGCTCTAGAAAGCTAACTAGCTTGTTCGACCAAAGTGGAACGTTTTTTTTTTTCCGTTCTACTTTGTTAGAAGAATCTAATTATCATTTCTTAAGTTGAAGATTTTAGTAAACTTAAGCGATTCACTCTGAACTTCTAAATAAAAGTTTATTCATTAAAAGATTAACCTAGATTCTAAATATGATTGCCCTGCTTAGTTCTTACGTTAGGAAGTTTGTCGTGTACCTTGGAGGGTTCCACAGTGGTGTGACGCTCGCTTGGAAACAACTGCCCTTAATAGAGGGAAACACCAATATATAGCATGGACCTTTGAGAAGTGCTATCTCCTCATTCTGATTAGAACAGGTCGTGTATATAGCTATGGGTTTTGTAATTTAACGAATCGAGGTGTGGATATATGTATCATACTATATTGATCGTCCATTCGATGAGATAACATTCGGCTAAATAACCTGGTGTGAAATAATCGTTGCTAATGGAGTGCTATGGTGCTGCCTGCGCATGAATTCATATTCTTATACTTGGATCCCGCAGAAACTGTGCTTGGTGAGCATTGGTTAAGTGACGTAAACATGGTAGCTTCAATGAGTAGCTGCAGAAGAAAGCTGCGCTTAACGTTTGTAGTAATCATGAGTGGTACGTAATTCACTATTGCACTGGTCACGGTGCCTGCAGTTGAAAGATTAGAAGGTTAAGTTCTATGAATGTAGCATATACTTCCATACAAAGTATGTAGTAGTATACAGTACTACTACTGTAGTATTCTAGTATCGTATGAAATATTGGCTATGAGTGCTGTAGCGTTGACGAAAGTTGACGTAATGATATAGTATTTGTAGCTAGTAGAGTAGCATAGTAGTATAGGTAGTATTAGTTTCTAGTACTCTTAGATATGAGGCGCCCAACCAAATTAATGGCATTTTCCTCAGCATTTCATTGGCGAGGCCATCGGGCCAGGCGCTTTTCGTTTAGGTAGTGCATTAACAATTGCTTGAACCTCGTCAACATTAATTAGTTTAAGTGGTTCGTAGTTAACGGAAAGGAGTAAGTTTAGCTGAGGGAACGCATCATCGTTATCAATATAATGAGCAGCTGGCTCGTTTTGGAAGCAAGAATGGTGCCGGAGAGCGTGGTTTTATCCCCACCACTCTCGGTCACTGTATTTCCTTCACGAAGGGACGGTAGTGGTGCAAGCCCCCGACTTTTGCTACCCGCTCCTACATTTCAAAAGTGCGATATTTATAATTTTCGACTTTATAATCTATTGTTTTTGGAACACAATTCAACAACTTCGTCACATAAATTTGAGTTCAGAAAATAAAGTTTCTTAATTATTAAAATTTTGCAGTACTAATTTTGTTTCCACCATCCGTTAGACTTTTACCAAAAAAAAAAGTGAGTTACAAATTTACAAGTTTTTTTTTAATTTATAAGAATTTTAAGTTGCTAAAGAGAAATTCTAATAGATACTCACGCTCTACGTACAGTTCCTATAAATATATTACTTCTTGAAGTATATGCTTCTTACATTTTTAAATACAATTTTTAGAATATTCGTGCGTCAATTTTTATTAGTAGCAAAGAACTTAAAGCAAGTAGTTTTACAAGACTTAAAGTGTTGAAGGTCGCAGCACGGCAAAAGTGGGAGCGCCCGCCTTGAGGGTGTAGGAAATCATTTATTACTATTCATCGGGAGTCCAAATACTTGAAGACTTATTACTTTTTTTTCGTATGAGCAGTGAAAGTGTTGCAGTTTTTTAGAAGTTTCATAAGGATGAAAAATAGCAATTTTATTGAAAGTTTGTCAGTACAAAAAGTTTATAAAGAGTTTGAGGTGTCTGTATATTTTGCTTATAATAAATTTTTATGAGTATATATTTAGTACTGTTCGTCTGTTTCGTGAAAGAATAAGTTATTACTTTGAATTTTTTAAAATATTTTATTTTTTAATTTTTTTAATCTTTTAAATTCTATTTTTAATATAGCCAGCTCTCCAATATTACTTTTAATTTACACTAGGCGTTAAATAGATTAAGTACAACTTAAATATATACTAAACACCAGAATGCTTAAAGTATATTATAAAAGGAGTTAAACAAACTTGAAGAAACTTGGTGCAAACCTTGTAAAGCTGGCGAAAAAAAGGAAAACCGTTTAAAAAATCGTTACTTTAATGTCCTCCCTGTGAAGTTTCTATGATGGATGTAGATTAATTTTTAAATTATCTATAATTAAAAGATCTACTTTTGTTATTTAATAATTAGTATGATCATACGCGTGTGAAACTAAAGGATGCTAAAAACGACTATATTAATGCTAATTTTATTACGCTAAAAGACGTGAATGGTCGTTATATAGCTGCTTCGGGTTATTATATTTATAAAATTTTTTAATTGAAGTTTATTTTATATATAAAATTCCAGCGCCTCCGGCTTGCGCTATCGGCGATTTTTGGCAAATGGCTTTTGAAAAAAAAGTTACTTCTATTATTATGCTCACCAACGAAATCGAACTGGGCAGAGTTATTTTTATTTTTAGTTAATTTTTTTATTTTTTAATATTACTAAAATAAGACGCTTTTATGCAGTTTACTAAATTTCTGCATAAACTTATTTTAATTCTCATTTAAGTTTTTTATTTTTTGTTTTTATTAAAATTTTTATTTTGTGTTTATTATATTTTAGTATTATTTAAAAATTTGTTTTACAGATTGAAAACACTCTATAACGTTATTATTTTTAAAAGCGCGAGAGTTCTTTTTCATTTTAAGTGCTTCACACTATTATTAAATGTATATAATTTTTTAATTTTACTTTTTTATAAAGTTTAGTCAGAAGTTCGGTCTTTGTAATCTATTTTCGAATATTATAATTTAATTTAAATGAAATTAAAATAATACTTTATATTCGTAATCATTAAAAAATATTAAATTTTAGTTTATTTCTAAAATAGTTGACTCATTTACTTCTATATAGAAAATAATTTAGTATAATTTTTAAAATAATTTTATAAAACCTTTTTATAATAGTTTGTAAAAACTTTTGAAATTAGAATGTTTTTAAACTTTATATATTAAATTTATATAAGCTTAATTATAGCCAGTTATTAATTAGAATTTCTGTTTTAAATAAATTTTTTTAAGGATAATTAAAATTATTTATAATTTATGTTAGGTTTTCATAATTTTATTATTACTTAATTTATTTCTAATAACTTTTTTTTAATATTTTATTATTTTATTATTATAATTCTTTATATTAATTATTTTTAATTTTAAAATTTTTTGGTCTAAACAATCTTTTTAACATAAAGTTTTAAATTTATAATAATTTTTATTTATACTTATTTTTTTCTTTTTTTAAAACTTTTTATTATTATTTTTTTAATTTTTTTAATTTAATTTTTTTTTGAAATTTTAAATTTTTTTAAATAGTTTTAATACATAAATGAAATAAATAATTTATTTTATAAAAAAAGTTTTTGAATTCTTTTTATATAAAAATTATTGTATCTTTAATTAGCAATATAAAGTTCCCTCTTTTTATTTTATAAAGTTTTTTATATAACAAGTTAACAGAAAAAAGTTATTTTTATTAATATTATAATTTTTATATTTGTTTCTTTAAGTAAATTTAAATAAATTTTTAGTTTACTTACAAAAATGTTTAATAATAATACTTTTTTATACACGTTATAAGTAAAACAAAATATATTTTTTTTTGAAACTTGAATAAAATTAAATATTTTATTTTGTGAAATGTGACGGAAATAAATTTTTCATATAATATATAAATACTAAAACTTAATGTGGATGTATTTTCTAAAAAAATCATTATAACGAGTGGAACAATAAATTATAAATTTTAAAATATTATATGAAAATATTTTTTAATAAAAATTTTATATAATCAGTTTTTTTTAAAAGTAATTAGAAAATATAGTCTTTTTATAATTTATGATTTATTTTTAAGTAAAATATAAATAAAAAGACTTTAAATTTTAATATAAAAAAAATTATTTAAAAAATAATATTTTTAATAAATTTTATAAAAAGTGGAAATAATAAAGCGATAAATTATAAAGTTTTTATATATTTTTTTAAAATATTATTTGGTGGTTATCCTATCTGATCGGTTTTTTTTATAAAGATAATATATTTATGTAAACTTATTATTAAGGATTAAAATAAAAATAAGGAAACAATATTTTAGTATTTTTTATAAAAATTAATGAATAAATTTTAGACAAAATGGAAATAATGACAATACATTTTATATAGTTTTTAAATATTATATAAAATAATTTTTTTTATGAAAATTCTATATTATTAGTTTTTTTATGAAATATAATTGATAATAATTCTATTAAATTTATTATTAATGATAAAAATAAAATAAAATACTAACTTAATATTTTTGTATCTTTTAGGAAAAATATATAAAAAGTAGAATTAATAAAACAATTTTTTAGTTTTAAAATTATATAAAAATATTTATTTATAAAAATTTTATATAATCAGTTTTTTTAACACAGTGATAGTTATATAATTTTATTATCAATGAGAAATTAAAATAAAGATAAAACTTAATATTGTGGTATTTTTAAGAAAATTGTTCAAGATATAATATTTTTTTTATAAATTTATAAAAAGTAAAAATAATAAAACAATAAGTTATGAAGTTTTTAAAATATTATATAAAAATTTTTTGATAAAAATGCTATATTAACAGTTTTTTTTTAACAATAATAATTTTACATACATTTATTACTAATTAAATTATAATAAAAATAATAAAACTTAATAATATATGGTTTTTCATTTGGAAAAAAATTTATTTCATAATGTAACTTTATAATGAAAAAATTATATTATAATTTATTAGTAATTTTTAGAGAAAATCAAAATTTATTAAACTTAATAAATATTAGTTTTACTATATTAAAAATAATTTTATAAAAAATTTATATATTAATTTTAATTCAATAAATTTATGTACAATTTTTATTAAAATAAAATCAAATAATTAAATAAAATATTTTTTTTATGAAAGTAATACTAATTTTTTATTCATTCAATTTATTATTATTATTAAAATAAAATTATATAATTTTTTAAAAATAATTTTTTTTAAGGAAAATAAATACTAATTTTTAATAAAATTAATTTTATATATATATTTTAATATGAAGTTAAATAATTTATAAAAAATATTTTTTTTAAAAATGTACGTAAATAACAGTAATTTTCATTAATTTATTAATAACATTTTTTTTAAAAATATTAATGAAAGTTATATAATAATTTATATCCATATTTTTTAGTTTTCTTTAAATTTTTTAAGGAATAGTAATCATTCATTAAAAATATTATAATTTTTTTTATTTAAAATAAGTTATTTACTAAATTTTTTAGGAATAATAATAATAATCATTCATTAGTTTATTATTAAGTTCTTAAAAATCATTAGTTATAATTAAATTTATAAATTATTTATTGTTGTTTTTGGTTTTTTAATAAATTTTTTAAAAAGTTAATAATTATTTATTATTTTAATAGCATTTTAAAAATTTTTTTTAATAATAATAAAATTTGTATATAAATTTCTATTGTTATTTCCTTTTTAACTAAATTTTTTTGGACATAATAATTATCATTTATTAATTTATTATAAATTTTTTTTTATTTCGATAATTTTATCGTTTTTAAATTTATATAAAAAAATAAATTTTCAATACAATTTTCTGTATTTAATTTAATTTATTAGTTAAATAATATATAGTTTATAATAATTTTTTTTTTGAATAGCAAAACTGAAAAAAATAAATATTTATTATAAAAAGTTTTACATTTTTATAAAAAAATTGTTGAATGAAAAATTTAACAAGTTAAAATTTTTGTTTATATTAATGAAAATAATCTTTTATAAAAAACAATTTTATTATTATAGAGGAAAATTATACAAACAAAAAATTATTTATTTTTAAAATATTTTTAATAATTTAAAAAATATATTTTTTTTTAGAAAATTGTTATTATTCTTTTTCTTTATTTAAATAATTTTATTATTATTATTACTTTTTGCTTACTATTTTTATTTATATATAATTTATTATAATATCACAAAAAAATAAACTCTACTTCCCTTTGTATAAGATAATTCATTTTTATAAAAAAGTGATAAAACTATTTATTATTATTTAAAAATTATAAATGTAATTTATAGTAAATAAAAAAAATTTTGTACTTTTAGAAAAAATGTGATTTGTATTGGCCGAATTATAACACAACAATGAAAATTGAAGATTTTCATATAAAAAATTGCGAAGAACGCGTCTTCAAAAACTTTACGTTGAGAACTTTTCTTATAACTTCTGAAAAAGTAATTAATTATATTTATAATATTTATTATTTTTAAATATTTATATTTATTTAACTGAAAAAAATTATTATAATAAAAAAAAATATTCATTTTATCAATTATTATTATTATAATAGTAAACTATTTAATAATATATACAATAAGAAAAAGTTGTAAATAAAGTATATTTATAAATTTTTATATAGAAATTAAATAAATTTATATTTTCATTTTTTTATATTTTATAATTTTTTAAAATTCTAATTATCAGTTTTTATTAATAATAACTTAAATAAAATAATTTTAATATAATAATTAATAAACAAAGGATAATTATTTTTTTTATAACTTTAAAAGATAATCAAAATTATATTCCAATTTATATTTAGGAAAGTTTTTTTAAAAAAAATAAATATTTTTTTATAACAGAATAAATATTAATATATACTTTTTAATATTATTCTATTATAAGAATTAATAAGAATGTATAATTTTAATTATAACTATTATTTATAAATAAAAATAAACACAAATTTATATTTCATGTAATATATAACTTGAAAAAAATTGAGTTTTTATATAAAATATATGGAATAAATTTTTTCTAAACACGTATAAATTTATACTTAATATACTTTTATTTTTAATTTATTATAATTTTTAAACATTACATTAATAATAATTTAAAAAACATCATTTTATTATTTTAATTAATAAAAAAAGGACTAATTATTTTGAATTATAACTATAATTTATAGATAACTATAATGCAAATTTATGAATTACTAAAAATTTAGAGTTTTATAATTAATATATTAAAAAAAACTTATATATATATTTTCTGTGTTTATATTTTTTATAATTAATTTTATAATTATCCTTATTTTTTAAATATTTTACTTTACCATATAAATTTTTATATATGAATTAATTTATTTTTAGATATGTATATTCTATTTTTATATCGTTTTTGGATTTTTTATTGATTGTATTATTTTTTTTTGCTTTACTTTATATTTTTTATGTATAAACTACTTTTAATTTTGATTATTAATATCACTTTAAAATAATTCCTTGTATAAACCTTTTTATGTTTAAATATTTTTTTATTGTTTATATAAATTTTATTTTTATTAATATTTTATTTATATTTTATTTCAAAAATAATAAAGTTTACTTTATACTTATAATTACTATCAAAAATTAATGATTTTTTTAGATAAAAAGTTAATAATTATAAACTTAGTAGCTCAACCTTATAATATAAAAATGAACATCCAAATTGCTTATAAAATATTATACTAATATAAATTTTATAACTTTATTATTATAAACTATCAAATTTTAGCAGAACTTTAATATTTATTACGTTTTACGTTACTTTATATATGTTAACGACTGTTATAAACTTTATTTATACTTTTATTAAGTTTCTATTAGTGTAAATTTTAAAACAAATATTATAATTATATATATAATAATTATTAATTTAAAATAAATATTAGTTTATATATTTATTATTATTAAGTTTTTGTTATAACAAATATATATTTTTGTATATTATTTATATTTATACAGAAATATATTATCTCTTTATTTATTATTATTAAGTTTTTATTTTTATAAATATATAACAGTTTTTTTTATATTCTCTGTTATTTAAAATTATACAAATACTAATATTAATATTATTTTAGTAATTATAAAAAAATTTTCTATAGCACGAAAAACAAAAGTTATTAATTACTTTTTACTATTATTATTTATAATTAATAAATTATAATTAGTAAATTTAATAAATCTAAATTAAAATTTAATTAAATTTTCTACAGCTTTATTAACCACTTTCACGATTATTTATTATTGGTAATAGTAATTTTAATAGAACCTTCTCTCCCATAAAAAATAATAGTTGTTACCTACTTTCACTAAAGATCTTTTACAGCATTTAAAGAAAAGAAGTTAACCACTTTCACTATTATTGTTTAAGTATTCTATTTCAAGATTTTAGAAAATTTTAATAAAATTACTTTTACTACTATTACATATTATTTAAGTTTAAAAAAAATCTCAACTAAATTTTTAGTAATCATAATTAAATCTTTTACATCTTTAATAAAGAAAAAGTTACTAATCACTTTAACCTTTATTATTAATAAATTTAATAAATCTTAATAAATTTTAAAGTTAAGTAGTTCTAATCAGAACTTTTACAGCAAACTTTCACTGATGATATAATTTTTGATGAATTTAGTGAATCTTATTTAATTTTTTAAGTAATCTTTTAAAATATATTACTATACCAAAACGAAAAAGTTATTAATCACTTTCGCTTTTTTTTTTTGCTGATTTTAAATATTTTTATTTAATCCAAATTAATAATAAATTCTTAACCACATTCATAATTAATATTTATGATTTCCATATAAATTTAGTTAATTTAATATAAAATTTTATGTATCTTTCTAAAATCTACTACAGCATCGAAAGGAAAAAGTCATTAGTCACTTTCACTATACTTCGTGGCCCGATTTTGATGTTCCTCTTTCCCCTAAAGGGCTTGTCGCAATGATCAACGTGATTCAAAAAATCGTGAACAGCAAATTTAAAAAGTTTACCAATTTAGTACATTGCAGTGCTGGTATCGGAAGAACTGGAACTTACATAGCAATAGAAGTTGGTAGATTGGCAATTTCACAGGGAAAAGAGTTTGATTTATATAAATTTGTAGAGGAAATGAGACACCAAAGAGCTGGAATGGTAAATTGGTCTTAAAAAAAAAAATTAAAATTATTCTAGTATTCTCTTTTTCTTTTACTGCATATTTATTTTCTTGATGTTTATTTTAATGTATATAACTATTAATTATTATTTTATATTTTATTAAAAGTAAAATAAAATTCTTTTTAATTGTATAACAAAAGGGAATAATAAAAATAATCATTATAATCTTTTATTTGGTTATGTAACTTTTTATTAGAAATATTGTATTTTTCTTTAATATAGATTAATTTTAATTATCAATCTTTTCTTTATTCCTTTTTTTTATTTATTTATTGAACAAAAATTAAAAGGAATTAATATATAAATTGTAATAAAAAATTAAATTTTATAAAAATAAATAATAGTTATAAATATATTCTATTATTTGTTAATTAACTTTCTAAAAGTTTTAAATTTTTTTTTAATTTTTTTTTAGATAATCCTTTTATTTATATTTATATATAAAAATTTGTTTAGTCTTTAAAACTATTATATACTCGTTTAATATTTTTTTTGGAAGCACAAAATTAATTATAATAAAGGACATTAGTTTAAAATTTTAATTTAGCTGCACAAAATTTTTTAATTATCATTATTTACAACTTTTAGCGTCACTAATGCTAATTTTATTTAATCAGATACAAACACCCGAGCAATATTTTTTTTGCTATAAAGCAATTTATGCGGAATATGCCGTCGAAGAATTAATGGAAGAAAATGAAAATTTTTAATAGGAATTATAATAAAACTATATCTATTAAATTCAAATAATTTAGATTTATATGATTTACTTAATTTAATAAAAATCAAAATTTATAACAATTATTATTACTCTTAAAGAGTTTAATTTTAACTTAAATTAAAAAATTTTATTACTAAAGCAAAAGTTTTAAAGTAAAAATTTTTTATAATTTATTTTTTTTAATCTATAAATAAAAAGTAAACAAGCCTCCTTATTTAAGCATTTTTAATTAAAATAAATTAATTTTCTAAGATCTAAAATATTCGCTTTTACTATCCATCTTCATAAGTTACTATAAGCTATCTCTTTAGCGTTTCCGAATTTGGGATTAAAAAGTAATATAAGATAAACATTTTTAATAAGAAAAATAAAAAAGGTTTAGTTGTTGATAATATACAGTGAAATTATATATAATCTAAACTCACTGCTTTGCAATATTTATTTTTTAAGTTACGTAATTAATCTCAGAAGCGTATAATAATATAACTAATAAACATTTAAAATGAAAAATAAAAGAGTTAATTGTTATCTTATTAAATAAAGTAATAAATGAAACAAACAATTATTAAAAAATTAAAAGGTTGGAAGTTATTAAAAAATAATTATTTCATCTAAATTCACAGCTTACCACATTTCATGTTTATAAGCAAATCATAAGCAATCTCTGTTGGGTTTTAAATATTTTTTTAACTTAAAGTGTTAAGAAATAATAAAATAAATCTGAATCAGTACTTTAAAGATTATTAAAAAGAATTAATTAACGAAACAAAATCAATCTATTTACAGTATTTATTTGCCTTATTAGTTTTTCTTTATTTAACAATTTTTTTAATGCTTATTCGTTTCTATAAATTTATTTTTCATATAAAAAATATTTATTTTTTGGTAAACGTTTTAATATTATTGAAGTCCGTACATAAACATTCACAATAAATTAATATAAATATTTTATATTTTATAAGAATAATATTATAGTTACAAATTAAAAATAATACTTCTAAAAATAAAAAGAAAACTATATACAAACTTTTTATTACCTCTATAAAAAAATTTAGTCACCTTATTTTAAATATTATTTTTATACCACTAACTTAATTTTTTTATTTCGATTAGTTATAATTTATTCTTTCAAAAATTATATATATTCGAGAATAATTTAATTAAATGAATAGAACCTCAATATTGCTTTACTAGGCTAAGAACTTTTAAAAATTTAATTATATTCAATAAAAAACATTCACAAACTTTTTGTTTTTAAATATAAAGTTAAAAGCATTTCCCTTCGAGTGGGAAGCGAATATTAATTGAGGAGTCCTAGCCAACAGCAAAGCGAGATTATTAAAACGTTACTAACTTTTTTTACTACTTATATATTTTATTTAAAAAAAAAAGGGAGATAAAATTATAATAAACGCCAGACCTTTTTTTATAAAAAAAAAGATTTTAAGGTTGGTTTATAAAAGGTTGAGCGCTCCACTTTCAGCATCTTTTTGTTACAAAATCTCTAGCTAGTGCATTGTGATATTATGTATAACATTTTTAATATTTTTCAGTTCTACTTAAATATTTATAAAAAGATGCAAACAAAATGTACTCCGGACTAATTTTTTTTTATAAAAAAAAGAAAATCAAAAATCTTCTGGTAAGGGTCTCTAGCTAGCAGTAAGGAGAGATTAGTGCAACATTACCAACTTTTTTTTTCTACTTAATTATTGTATATATAAAGTGATGAAAATATAACATACGCCACACCTTTTTGGTTATATAATAGATAAGAATGTTTTATAATATCTTAAGCGCTTCGTTGTTAAAATCTTCTCGTTACAGGACCTTGGCCTTATACTTACTATTAATCGACTAGGAGTCTGTACTAGACTCAGCGAGCATCTTCAAAAGTTAAGTCATAATAATAAAAAGTGTACCTTTTAATATATTTTATTATAATTTACTTATATTCTTCAACAAAATTAAAATTTTATTACGGATGCTATATTACTATCGCTTGTTTTCAAACCAGGTCCCAAAAGCAATATTGTTAAATTCTATAGTTAAAAATTAATACAGAGATTTAGTAAAAGTTATCTGTAAATGAAAATATTTAAAAGGAATGAATCATAAGAAATAATAAAGTAACAAAATTTTTCATCAATATTAAGTATTACAGTAAAACCAAAGTAAATACGTTGACCCAGTTAAATTGTCGAAACGTAAGTATAAAGAAAATAGCAAGAATCTCTTTCCATTGCAACTACGAGCCAAGTGCTTGTGACTTTGCTTTAGCTAATAAAAGCTACATTTTTAGAAGGCACGGTTTAATAATAAATACCACATTTAAAGGTTTACAAAACATTAATTTTTACGTATTAAGCCATTACGCTATAGCAGCCCTACAAATAATTCAAAACGGCTATAAACAGTACAAGAGTAAGTTAATGGCTTTTCCAAGGAATGGAGACCAGCCTTTTAGAAAACAAAACCTAAATAGTAATCAAATTAAAAACCATATGAAATTTCCCAAAGTTACAGAGCAAGTAAAGCCATAAAGCTTGGTTAAGAAAGTTATCATATTACAACGGAGTTTAGTTCATTTCAGTAAAAACGCGATGATTTTGGCAAGGAAGAAAGGCGAGCACTTGCTCTTCTATGACCCATGGTTTCGATCAGCTTAACTGTCTAGTAGGGTCGCTAGAAAGGAGTTTTTTTATGTTATTTACTAGTAACGAAATACTAAAGAAGTTTTATAAAGTCCAAGAAAAGACAACGAATGACACCTAAGAATCGAAGAGGGTATCACGACCTGGGCTTAGAGAAGCCTATGTTCTTAGCAGCTATAAAAGTGCTTGCAGGATCCAGATAGCCTAATTACCTAATGGTGTTATTTTAATTGAAGCTAAGTTAAACCTGTTGTTGATTCGTGAGAGCTTACAAACAAACATGAAAAAATGGTTCATAAAGCACGTGCTAAAACTCGAGTCGGGCTTTTGTGCTCTCCTCTATAATGATTCGGCGAGCTTTTTTCACTAAAGAGACCCCTTTAACTTAAAACTAATTGACTAGTTCCTATTTAATTTTTTTTTAAAAAGAGTATATGGTAGGCGCGTCGAGTTGATCACCAAAATTTAAAGGGATAAAAGCCAATGTTTTCGAGAAAAACAAAATATGCTATTATAATAAACGGAAAGAAGTCTTTTTAATGTAATTTATATAAGGTAGGAGCTTTTCAAATCAAAACCTATATTTACAAAAAGAGTGGCAAATGCATTTGTTAATTGTGGTAATCGTTAGCTTCACTTCAACCTTATGGTTGAATAAATCCTTTTTTTTTTGCAGTTATTTTTACTAACTGACATACTATAGTTTCCACGCTTAACGCGTGTTTACGGCCTAATTAATTTTCCTCTAAACAGATCCGCAAACTAGCATGTAGGCGAAATTATTGGCTAAGAAAAGAACTAAACAAGATAGAAACGGATAAGTTTAAAACGATATATATGTGTAAGATAAAAAATTTCCTCGAAGCCCATATCTCTTATAGCACACTTCGCAATTCGGGCTGTGTGAACCGGGTTGCTTTGTGATAAAAGAATTTCTCTCAGTTTGCCCCCTGCATCTCTTTATGTTGGCTTGTCACAATTAAATGATTAAGCCAGCATATTATTGTCTCTTCATCGTTCCTCCTCTAAAGAGGCGATCCACCCAAAGTATTTTTTGCGCTAACCCAATAAGTTTTGTGGTCACCCTTCAAATATTGAACTTCCGGTTTAGCTTTTCTCCCTTTTTATTCAATGCGTGAACTCTTTTTTGGATTCTGGATCGTACTAATAAACCCATGTTTCATGACAGATACATATGACAAGTGGTATATAATGTATTTTCCTATAAACGAAGAAAAACGCGAACTTACCAATCTTTGTTCCCGTTCTAGCGGAATTAACATTTGGGTACCCAATGCGTGCTTACCTTACTGATGATTATAGAGAATTTGTCTAACATAATCCATGTTGATCTTTAGCCCCTCTACTATCTTAAAAACCCGAATTCGACGGTCTTCGAGGACTAACTATTCCACTTATTTAATACTTTCTTTCCTAACGGCCATGCAAGACGATCTTAGGTGCTCCTCATCTTTGATTAATGGTCGTCTTTTTATAAACGAGCGAGTCCACTTTTCGACCATTGCATATGATGAAGCAAATTGTGGATGAGGTCAATATTTTCCTTTAATTTCTTTGGAACAATTACCTTTTTCCAATAGTCAAATTCTTTAAAGTAACATGGTTTCACTACGACATTTTGTTTTTTGACGTCACTTAGTAATTGTTACATCAATTATAATTAAAATTCAACATATCGGCTATTAACGTTGTATGTGTACAACATAAAGTTCAAGGTTTTCTTTAAGCACCCCACTTCTAGACGAGGCTTACTTTGTCTCGATCAGCCTACGTATAAATATTTCACAGTGGTGAAAATTTGTGTACAGAATAAAAGCGAGCCAATGGGGATAGTCTACACACTCACGGGTTTAATTCTTTGTTATTTGCAAAATGATTGTAACCAAAGTTTTACTAAATAACCTCTACCATTTAGAAGAAGTTCACTTTCATCAAAAATGTCATTTTGATAGAAGGCAGCTCTAAACACTGAGCGATAATAAAATTTGGCATTAGTTTTAACCATGAGAACTCAACCTCTTCTTTGAAAAACATATTTTAGTCCCATTATACTACTACTCGTTCAAAAAAGAAAAATTTTAAAGTGGCCCTTAAGAGCTAAAGGAAAGAGAATTTTTGCTCTGACTATCAGGATAGGCCTTAGTATTTAGTTTAGGAAATGTAGTAATCTCATAACTTTATACGTAGTTGTAAACATAATTTCTTTTAATTGTTTATTTATTGCTTATTTATTCTAAAAGTGTGTTGGTTTAAAAACTATAACTTGCACTGTTTTAAAGTGTACATAGCATACTAG